GGGGCGGCGAGGTGGCGGCGACTGCGGCCCGGCAGGAGACGCTGTCCGGAGAACGCGCGAAAGGCGGAGATGGAACCCGAAGCAGCGGCGACTGCGCCCGCCGACCCGGCTCCGCGCGGCCGGCTCCCCGAGCCGCAGTCCCGCGCGTTCCCAGAGCTTCGACTAGATGGCACTTTACTTTCTGCTTGGCACATCCTCACATGGACTTCCTTTCTCGTTTCAGTTCTGTCGAGGGAATTTCCTACGTAAAAATAAATCCCATGCCGATGACGATGTCGCCTCTCCCGCTTTGATTTATCCCCTTCACACTTTTCCACCTCCCCCAGTCCGTTCGCCCTTGCCGCAGGACAAGACCAGACTGTTGATAACAAGGGTTCCCAGCTCTCTCAAGTAAAGTCGGAACTGAATGTGTCACAAAGTGGGGCTCAAAGTCAGTGGGGAAGTTTAGGTAGCTTAATAAGTAATGGACAGACTAGGCAACTGAATCAAAAGTGAAGTCGTATTCCTCTTCAGCTATATATTGGTTTTCTTCCGTTTTTAGTTTTAAAGCAAAAAAGAACAAACGTAAGATGAAACAGAGAGTATATGTCGATGTAATATGAATTAAAGTTTAAAGCAAACACGTGTCTACAGCAAGGACTGCAGAACGGCAGTAGCTGGCATTCCAGAAATCTCTCCATTTCCCTTACAAGGCTCCCAGTGATTTTCACTATCTGCTTTATCACTGCTTTATCATTTTGTCACCGAAATGTAGGTTTTGCTTGTGTTTTAACCTTATTTAAATGGCTTTGTACCATATGTATTCTTTCACTCATAATCATTTGTGAAATTCACCTATACATTGCTATGAAAACTGTACCTTACTCATTTTCATAGCTGCATAGTTTTCCACACTGTTCACCACACAATTTATTTATACATCTACTAGTGATGGAACTTTGAACAGTTGACAACCTTTGCTATATGAACGCTCTTGTGCATATTTCCTGGCACCACGCGTCTCCCTCACCTTCTCACTTTCCCAGATTGCTAGGTGTGTTTGTTTTCAACTTTGGTAGACAGTACCATCTATTTTTTCAGGTTACCTGTGCCATTGTGCACTTCCATGCCAGTTTAAATAGTGCCCAGTGCTTCACATCCTCAGTGACACAATACTGTCACTTTCCCCACTTAGTGTAGTGCTATGTTTAACTTGTTTTAAAGTAATTTTGCCAAGAAACCCCAAATTTATTAACAAATATGCTGTAAGTTGATATTATGTTTAGCCTGAAGACTGAATGTGCAAGAAAAGGTGAGCTGTCACGGCAGCGAAACAGACAAAACACTTTCACAACATGTTTGGAATCTTTGAAAATGTGCTTAATATCACAGGGTTTCTAAAATTTATTTTTTATTAGTACATGCTTGCAATACGTAATAATTGCACTCATTGTGGGAAATTGTACACAATATGTTGTGATTCTTTTTTTTTCTTCCTTTGTCTCTTTTCTCCTGTTCTTTTCAACTCTTGGTCCCCTTCTCATTTACAAAAGATCTATTTTCATTTTTTCCCCATTTAATTCACTTTTCCTATCCCCTTTCCCTCTGTCCCTGTCTCTTGTTCCCCCATTCATTTGAAAAAGATCTACTTATTTCCTATTTATCTACCTTCTATTCTGCCCCCCATATTAGAGTTTCTTATATAAGAGAAAACATGATATTTAAATTCATGAATCTAATTTATTTCATTTAGTACTGTGGTCTCAAGGTGTACTCATTTTCCTACAAATGACTCAAGTTTGTCTTTTGTCAGGACTAGCCTGAGAGTGACCTGAGGGAGACTTGGGCTTCCCACTCCAAACACTGGAATCCCCACTAGCGACAATGGCTTGCCTTCTGCAAATAAGAAGTAAGGGCTGTAGAGATATTCAGGACCGGACTTAAAGTCTTGGCACCAGTTCCATCTACACACCTGGGCTGATTGCCTCTGCAATTTTTGACTTTAAACATTCCTTCCAGATTCTTTAAAACTGCACCCCAACCTCTTAAAATCTATCTGTACTCTGTTTTCCTCCAGATAGCTGCTGATGTTCACTACGATGCCAGCCCACCTGTAGGTCGAGGAATAAGCTGCCCCACAGCTTTGCTTTCTGGGTAGCTCCTCATGCGCCATTATTAACGTTTTCAGTTGTGAAAGACTAGTACTGCATGATGTGTAAACAGCACATTTTCTTTATGCATTCAGCTGTTGATGGACGTATCAGCTGCTCCCAAGATTTAGCTATTAAGTGTGGTGCTATAAGCATAGGTCACTGTAACGCAATGTCTTTAACTCTTTTGGGAAGATACCTACAAGGGAGTAGAGCTCTGTTTTTAGGTTTTGAAGAATGTCTATACTTATTTCCATAGTGGAAATCTATACTATCCTGTCTATACTGACTTCCATAGTGGTTATACTAGTTTACATGCTCACCAACAATGAAGGGTTCCTTTTATCCTGCGGTCTCTCCAGCATTTGCTACTATTTGGTATTATAGAGTTCTTGAAGACAGCCGTTCTTTCTGGAGTGAGATGTGATCTCAGTGTTATTTTAATTTAAATTTCTTGATTAGCCAATCTCTTAGTTACTTTTCTCATTACTGAGACAAAATGCCTGATGCCCCAGGTTGAGGGAGAAAAGGTTTATCTAGCTCACAGTTTGTAGAGGTTTCAGTCCATCATTAGTGTGCTCCAAGGCAGGCTGGCTTGGCAGAGGAGGACAGTTCATAGTGGCCACAAGAAAGCAAAAGCAACAAGGGAGAGAAACAAGACTCTTTCTGTCCCTTATATTGTATGCAGGCTACCTGCCCTAGGGTGGATGTGGTACTCACACCCTTAATCCTTGCTAGAACTATACCAAACTAACCAGTGGACTGATTTACTAACCACACACCCTTAATCCCAGCATCACACAGTCTAGATTCAGCGATCTCTGAAAAAGCCCTATGACCACATGAAGCTTTGAGGGGACATCTAGACACAAACCATAACAGCCAGTGATGTTGAATATTTTTTCATGTATTTATTGGCCACTTGTATTTCTTTGTTTAATAAAGTGTCTACTCATTTCAGACACCCTTATTTTAACTGGGTCTTTAAGTTGAGGGGGGGCCTAATTCTTTTGAGTTCTTTGTGTATTCTAGGTAGTAGCCTTTTGTTTGAGGAGTAGCTGGCTGTTTTTTTTCCATCCTGTAAGTTGTCTGTTCACTCTGTTGGTGGTTTCCTTTGCTGTACAGAAGCTTTTTAATTTGGTATAATCCTATTTGTTGATTCTTGGTACTGTTTGTTCAGAAAGGCTTTATCCGTGTTCATGTCTGCAGCAGTTGTATCTACTTTTGTCTTCCAGAAGATTGTTTCTGTTTTAATGTTTAGATCTTTGATCCAATTTTGGTTTTAGTTTAATGTATGGTGAAAGATGTGGGCTTAGGTTCAGTCTTTGGAATGTGGAGCCAGTTTTCCCAGCACCATTTGTTAAAGAGGCTGTCTTTCCTCCAGTGAGAGGATTTGGCTTCTTTGTCAAAGATAAAGTAGATGAGTATGCTTGGAGTTGTTTTTGCACCCTCCATTCTGTTCCATTGATGTACACATCTTTCTTTCCTCAATACCATCCTGAATTTCTCACTGTAGCTTTGTAGTATAACTTGAGGTTCAGGATTGTGAGGCCCCCTGCTTTGCCCTTGTCTAGCATTGATTTTGCTATTCTAGGCCTCTTCTGGCCCTATATGAATTTCAGAATACTTTCTCATGTTCTAGAAAGTGTGCTACAGGTATTTTGATTGGAATTGCATTAAATCTGTATGACAGGTTTGGAATTATGACCATTTTGATCTCCTTTTACAGAGTGCTACAGTTTTTATTGTAGAGGTCTTTAGCTTCCTTGGTTAAATTAATTCCTAAGTATCTCATTTTTCTTGATGCTGTTGTGGAATGTATTGTTTTCCTAATTTCTTTCTTAATGAATTTATTGGTATAAAGAAAAGGTATAGATTTTTGAGTGTTAACTTTGCATACTGCTACGATATTGAATTTTGTTATTAATTCTAGAAGTCTTCTTATGGAGTTTCGGGGGTCTTCTATATAGAAGATTATTTTATTTGCCAATAATGATAATTTGACTTCTTCCTTTTTATTCTTTTTTTTTATTTCTATCAGCTAGTATTTTTAGAATTATATTCAAAAGTGAACAGGTTCATCTTTGTCTTGTTCCTGATTTTAGAGGCAAAACCTTCAGCTTATCTCCATTTAATATGATGTTGGAAAAAAATATGATGTTGGTCATTAGTTTGTCATAGATGGGTTTTATCAGATCAAGATAAAGACCTTCTATTCCTATTTTCTTCAGCTTTTTTTTATCTTGAATGAATGTTAGATATTGTCAAATGCTTTTTCTGCATCTATTGAGATGATCATGTGATTTTTGTCCTTGCTTCTATTTATGTGGTGTATTGCATTTATTGATTTGCATTTGTCGAGCTACCCTCTGCATCCCTGTAAGGAATCCTACTTGGTCATGATATCTTTTTGATGATTTGCTGTGTTCTGCTTGCCAGTATCATATTGAGGATTCTTGCATCAAAGTTCATTACAGAAACACAGGAGTCATTTTGTTGTCTATGTTTCAATTGTTTTTTTCCTTTTATTGTTTTGTTTTGTGCTGAGGTTTGCAGATACTTGTGTTATAAGGACTTTATTCCTAGTAATGGGATCTCCCTAGTTAGTCACTTTTTAGTGTTGCACTGTGGGTGTGGCTAGCTATGCTCCTTTACCTCAGCTCCAAGATTCAGTCACTTCAGGTAATTTGGGAGGAAGCATGCGGAGTAATTGGTCCAATACCGAGTTCTCTGGGTATGTGCTGTACTATTTTTAGTGTCACAAAAGGTGACATGGGTGTTGTGACTTACAGAGAAAACTCGTTAATAGCAGCAGTTATGCAACCCTTGCATTGTCAAGCAAATCAGCTACAACAGTATCATCCAAGACAAATTGGATATTAGCACACTATAAGAACCAATTATGCATTACCTTAGAGAAAAAAATATCCATAATTATAGTGTGAACATTTAGACAATCCATATATTTACTTATAAGAAATATGTTTTAAATATGAAA